ATATTGCATGAGAAAAGTTCATGACTGTGGAACTGCACTGCGGTAAAATGTTTTTATTTGCATGTCAATACAGTATACAGTATATAACATAAACTATAATGTAGTCAATTAATGATATATGACAAACAGTTTGATAAAGCAACTTAAAGAACGATAGTAAAGTCCACCATAACTCTCAAAACTGAAACCTACACCCCTTTATTGCCATTACTTTCTATGATAATCATGATAAGAATAATGTTTGTGAATTGATAAAAAGGCAAATATGGCAAATCAACACTTTTTCGGCCCAAATCATTATTATCATAATTTTATTATATAGTCTTGGAAAAACGTCATCCAATATTATCATAATTATAACTAATTGTATACACTGTATAAACAGCGTTTATATCATTTGGTTATATCGCTCATAGATCAATCCATTTACATCATACATGAAACAATTAAAGTACCCGGTTTTAAATCTGTTGAGGTTTTAAACATGTTGTTGAGCATTCACAGAGTGTAGATTATAACTTTGTAGCTTCATGGTGTGTAGGCTTACCTGAAATGCCAAAGGAAGCACTCTACAAAGAACAGTGAATGCAATAAGATAATGAACACATGTTTTTACCTACCACGTATTCTACGATCTGAGTTAATATCTACTTTGGACATGTCTGAATAACAACTTACCACGTTTTTCTCTATGATTCTTCCAGCACATGCTATGACCAAGCATCTTTCTGACCACCTCAAAATATGATTCCGTTCATGTCCATAATTCTGATCATATCACTGCAAATCCCTTCAAGGAAATATTTTAATCAAAGAACATCAGTGAATATCTTTTTTGGCAGAGTACATGTACTTTTTTGTCGGATTTACTGACAGCATTTCCTCTCGCCAAAGCACAGACCATGATGCTTTGATTCGTAAATCCGAGGTCGGGACATATTATAAGCAAGCCTTGGAATAAATACACAAAATGGCACAATCATTTCCAACAATAGACAGTTCTGGGGTTCGCTTTAGCTCTACAAATTCGGTGCAAACAAACTTTTTGAAAGAGAACAAATTCACCAAGGGTTGAATCATCGCCAGGAAAATACCACGATTCTATTCTTCCGTGGCATTTCTCCATTCAGCTTATACCCGCTTTGTGTTTATTGGAATGATGTATAGAATGATGTGTGTTTTGTTCACTGAGTTTTTAATCAGATTTAGGGTATTTTGGGCAGCGTTATTTTTTTCTGCGGCACAGCTTGGGGTTAAATGCGTGTTGAGCCTATGGGAAAGTTTAGGGTTAGGATTAGGGTTAGGATTCGGGTTAGGGTTAAATCAAGACCTCTTTTTAAAAAAGCGCCCTAATCTGTGCCGCAAAAAAAAATGACGCTTCCGGGCATGCATTGCATTAAAATTGTTTAGGCCGTAGTGATCTTAAAAAAAATATTATAAATACGAAAAGTTCACCTTCTCTCTCGCTTACTCTCTCTCTCTCTCTGTCTCTCCCTCTCTCTCTCTCTCTCTCTCTCTCTCTCTCTCTCTCTCTCTCTCTCTTATGTCCCCTCCCATTATTCCCATTTCCATTTCTCTCCTATCCCCTATCTCCCTTATTATATTTGTCTCCCCCTTAATTACCTCCCCATCTCTCACCTCTCTCTCTCTCTTTCTCCCTCCCCATCTCTCCCCATCTCTCTCCCTCCCCACCTCTCTCTCTCTCTCTCTCTCTTTCTCTCTCTCACACTTTCTTTCTCTCTTTCTCTCTCTATCTCACGCAATACATACCACACGTACCAACATGAAAAAATAATGTCATAAATCATGATGCATAACAAATATTATGACAAATGGAGTAAATGAAGCTTGACAGGGAAAAGAAGAAAGTCTCAGTGCCAAGAAATTTGCCAAAACACATGAAGTTTTCACATTGAAACATAAACGCTATACTACAGAACCAAATTGTAGCACGTACTGGTAAGGCGATTGTAAGCAATATCATTGTCTGATAATGAGATTTATCATAAGGAGATTAGGAGGTGAATGACACACTCTACCCATCGATATAGCCTTATTTATATCACGCTACTTTCTGATAGTGAGATAGACTTATGATCTTGAATGGCCCTCAAGTCACAATTACAAATTTCACGTAAAAAGCAAGATTGTTAAAAATTACATATTGTATTTAATACAGCTATTCATAAACTTGTGCAATTTGTAAATTTGTAAATTTCACATTAACGTTACAAACAAAAACATTGTAAAATATTGTAAGATAAATTATGACACAAAATACTTGATTTAACATTGCGGGATCACCTATTCTCTATACACTGTGTGAAATAGAAAGAAGAAAAAAAGCATATTGTGATCACTATTTAAAATTATCATGTTGATTATTTACACCGAATAGACAAATGCGAATGTCAATCCCTATATAGATGAAACTTGTTAAAAAATGACAATGAGAAGAAGATTGATTCTCCATACCCTGAACCCTCCCATCCTCGGTCGCCTCGCTCTCTCGCAGTAAGTCCACCAACAATATAGTCATACCCCATCCCAAAGACACGACTAACGCTACACAACCATCTTTAATCAAACAAAACTAAAGTATACTTACAATGTTTTTATAGAAAGCCCATAACTTGGCAAAAATCAAATGCTCTATGCGAAAACTAAGTTAAAAAATAATTGGTCACCATTCAACCCACCGTCAAAGTCTTAACATATTACAGCTAAGTTATGCTTTTAGAGTATAAAGAATATATTCCAAAAAGGAACACAGCAAAGAGATGACAATATTGAATAATTAATTAATCAACAAGTATCTTTTTTGTCAAAACAAAAATGCGGTCGAAAAAAATGTCGCGCTTAATATTTACAACATTGCTTTATATAAATATAATAAACACACTTCAATGAACTTGCTGAATTTGCTAGCATAAACAACAATAAGAATTGTGTTTTCACACATGTCGTGCATGGTGATGTGTCGAAATATGCGACATCTTTACTTTAATATGATATTAAGCAATCGTAAAAAGTTTAGTATAGGATCCTATAACTAAACCAGACGCCTCAGTAAAAGAGGGAATATATATACTAGTATAACCCCAAAATTATTTATTTTAAAGTTAGATATGATATAGGCTCTGAAAAATATATAAAATTATTGAGGACATAACCCCGTATGTAAAGATCTTGACGTGCACTTTTCTTATTAAACTACATGTATAATCGTGTATACAGTAATTTGAATAAAATGAAATGCATTTGGAAGTTTAACACTATATAATTATATACGGCTCTATCTTTATATAGATGGCATATACGCCTTTCTATTGTCATTAGCAGTTTCATACTGCAGTCATAACAAACATGGGTAATTCGAATTTGAAATAAAAACGTGCACTTATCGATCATCAAGACAATGCTATAAAATACATTCATGCTAAATGAATTATAAAAACACATACGCCAGCCTGAATTGACAATTAAAGAAAAAAAATGTTTTACAACTAAAAGAATGGAAGACTTCGTCTTGTTGATTTTGAATCAAGATGAATACACATTAATGTTAACATTAAGAAACATGTACATGTTGTTAAAATCTCGCTTGTTCTTTTACGCTTGAATCTTGATTCTTCTAGATACCATCAACTCCGAGCTGCCCTGAAGAGAAAGAGAGAGTGAGAGATGAAAAAAGGAAAGACATCTTTAAATAAAACAGGTTGGGACGATTCTGCTTAAAATATATTTAGATGTTTAATTATAGACAGTGAAAAATGAGTGTTAAAGTGAAGGTTGAGTTCTGGGAAGAGGTGAAAAATAATTTGTGAGCATTACTCATTCTTATTATGCAAGTGTGGGAGAACATCAGTTAAGACATGTTCCCTGAAAAGCATGGCTCTTCAAATGCCTTCATATTCTAAATATGCATGTTATATCGTAAAAATCGGGGGCCGGCTTTTTACGCCACGTGTTCGTGTAGTCCCATATACATCTTTCTGTGCAAGTGTTTGTAACTTTACCAAGACTTGCCAAATTTCTTATCATTTTGATGATTCCAGAACCTTGCAATACACACAAATTCGTATATGCTAGATGATCAACCTTTTCTGGTCGGTTCCACACCGTTTCTTTCACAATGCAATCGCATGACCAGAACTCAACTTCATCTTTAAAAGCGGATGGATAATTATGTAGACGATTAATGGAGGATTCAGGCCTGTTTTAGGGGGCTCAAGGATCTGCAAAAAACAGAATAAAACATAACAAAATTCCACAAGGATGAGGGTGTAGGCGGGTAGAGGGGGGTGGGGCTATGTCATCCCTAGACCAGCCGCTTATCATAATACGAAATATGATGCCACATGATACTTTAAGGCGCTTTTAAAACAACACAATTCCTTGTTGAAGTAACATTGATTTTTTTTCTTCTTATATGTACTTACTAATGGCACAAGTTGGTCCGGTCCATCCATACCGACATACACATGTATCTGGCGCCACACATTGGCCGTTGTCAGAACAGTTATCCAGGCACGAAGCTGGAACATAATATAGATTATGCTGTTACGCCCATCACACTGATCCTATTTGAAGGCCGATTTTTTTTTTTTTTTACTCTTAGTGGGTCATGTATCGATTCTGGGCTGATAAACCGTAATCTTCACTTGTACAGTAATATTTTGTAAGCACTTAACACACACATGTATTTTGTTTTCTTTTTTGAAAAATTCCTATTTATGTCCAAATAATTTGCAAAACAGAAGAATGGATTGGAAAATGACGAGAGAGAGAGAGAGAGAGAGAGAGAGAGAGAGAGAGGCATATATCCTTATTTTATTTATCATCATTTAATACTCAATCATCATTTAGTCAAAGTTGAAATTACAGGTTGCCATATAAACTCATGGTGTGTAATACTTGCAGCTCATTGCTCAAATAATGAGTTGAGTTTGGAATCAATCTAAGATAATGAAATGTTGAATGTTTATCGTATAATTTATTTACATTATATGAGTAAAAAAGAACGAAAGAACTGTATCCATACCTGTTTGGCATCGATTTCCTGTGAATCCATCTTGACATTGACACACACTGGGCTCAATACACGATCCACCATTAAAACAATGTGGGATGCATATAGCTAAAGAAAGACAGAAGTGGATATTGATGAACGTAAGAATAATCATATTAATTTACTATACATCATGATCATACGTCATTCATACCTGGGGGGTGTTTCACAAAGATCCTAAGTAGAACTTAACTCTAAGTTGGACTTAAAAATTATGGACAGCCATTGGAGTCTTAAAATGAAATATATTCAAAAGCAGAAATTCAAGTATTTTAGACTTTTTATAAATTCCAGATCCAGAACATGAAATCTCCTTGATGATAGAAAATATGAATGATTTGAATAAACAATTAATGCCTTTCAAAATAACTTTTACAAAATATTTTCAAAGATGCTAATGGCTTTCCATAATTTTTAAGTCCAACTTAGAGATAAGTTCAACTTAGGATCTTTGTGAAACACCCCCCTGATCATGATACATTCGAAGCTATCTTAAATCCAATATCTGAACATCCGTAATGAGCGTAAAACTTTTTCTAAACAGGGCGTAATTTTCACTGGTCGCAAAAAAAAGAGAATTTCAATATCTAGATTAAGTTTAATTGACATCATCCAGTTTCAAGTGATATAATATTCTGACCGTGTGTTTGTCTATAATATACACATTATATTATTAAAACAATACAGCAATGCTAGAAAATATTCCTCAAAACCAAAACCTCATATTACATCATGCTGAATGCCTGAAACAGGGCGTGGTCCAAATTTGTCAACTTGCTGTAAAGCAAAATTTAGGCGACCGCTAACAAGCAAGGCCTGCTCAAGATGTATGTGTATGTCAAGTGCTAATCACGATACTACATGAGCTTGACAGTACGATGTCAATACATCGTGTTTGAGATCGTGGTGGTGTGGTATTACCATGTTTGCAGCTGGTTCCATAGTAGCCTTCTGGACACTCACAGACGCCATCATCAGCACACACAGCACCGTTACCACACGGAGGATGACACGGCTTGACTGAAAAGAACAACGAAAACCGATAATTCCTACTTTAAACAAAATGCATAACTTCAACAATGAACCCAGCCCTAACTCTAACCTTATTCTAACACCTGCAACTATTACCCTAACCCTATACTTTTTGATGAAATAAAGCCGTAGCAATATTGTCGCCGAAGTAAATGTCGGAGCAACAGAAAAAACTCTTTGAAGAGGAACAATAAATGTACTCAATTTTCCTCTGCATTACCAGAGCCTGAACTTGGTGACCACTTGGGTTTGAAACAGATCTCCTTTTGTGAACCACCCCTCTCATACCGCAGAGGTTGGTTGCATCATTTTTCTTATTCAGATTAGCTATACTTATGTGACAAAAGTTGTATATTTGACATAGTTTTTTCCCCGCAATCTAGATTATTGTGCAACAAAATAAAAAGCAATAAAATAAAACGCTTGATGGCCTTTCAAAGGGAATTTTCAAACAGTAAAAGACATGGCGTTTTACCTTACTGGTTGAACTTTTCTGATCATTTAAGATATCTTAATGGCAGTGATCAATAATTTGTCTTACCCTTTTTCCAGCACTGCTTCTGGAATGGAATCCTAAGTGGCGATCCTGGGATGAGACGTTTGGTTTCATCCCATATCTTCAAGACAAACCGACCTGAAGCAATACCAGTTTGTCTTCCCGTGCATCGTAGCTCCACCTGAAAAACTGATCAGAAAAGGGAAAAAGGACAATTATATATCTATTCAGTGATTTGCTATTAATCAGCTTGAATTATTTCTTCCATACTAATTTAATGGCCTATAAGACCCCGCCCCCCCCCCCCAAAAAAAATATATATATAAATAATATAAATATATTGTTTCTTACCATATCGTTGAGCATTTTATATCAATCTGTAGCATTAATTAAAAACGTGTTTCGTTGCTAAACTTGGGTTTATCAATAATTTTATTTCTCCTATCATGTTGTTTTAAAAGTAAATCACTCATGAGGCTTCATTACAGTAATATTAGACTATCTTGCAGCCCCTATTATTATGAGGTGATTCTATAGCCGAATATATCGGGAAATTAAACATCCCTACCCCCGGGCCCTGCCCCATAAGTTCACTATAACGTCCATAGTGCTCTCACGCGTCATCATTCTAAATTCTTAACCATCATGACAATATGCTTCGATAGTGCCCCTCCATGAATCTCATCTGATATACGATCAAAATACATTACAACCCCACCCTCTATAATATTTTACTTTATTACTACCACGATGATCGCAACTACTTTTAAAAATCAACTTAATGCAATATCAATAGCCCTGTCCGGTTCTAGGACACCTACCCCCTGGACATCCACCCCGGATAGCCACCCCCAGTCAACTACCCCTAGGACAACTACCCTGGACAACTACCCCCGGACATCTACCCCCAATAAACTACCCCATACGACAACCATCCTATAGGACAACTATCCTAGGGGGTAGTTGTCTGGGGGCTAGTTGTCCGGGGGTAGTTGTCCTGGGGGTAGTCGACCTAGAGGGTGCTTGCCCTAGGGGGCTAGTTGTCCTAGGGGGTAGTTGTCCTAGGGGGTAATTGACTGGAGGTGGTTATCCGGGGGTGGATGTCCAGGGGGTAGGTGTCCGGATACGCCCTGTCAATCACCTTTTGAAGTGTGCAAACATTACAATTCAGTATTATGTGATCCAAACATGATTTCTATGGGATATACAATGTTGTATTGAAATTGCCCTTGGGTCGATTTTTCGAAAGCACTTACCACTTTCAGAGGTTGGTATAGTTCCAGAGGGCGGTATTGTGATAGCAAGGTTCTCCATGAGCCTGGTGTTTGCTGTTCTTGCGTGGATGGCATAATGAAACTATAAAGAAGTGGAAGAGAAAATGAAGAAACTGTAATGAGTAATCGTCTAGAAATAATAAATTTTACGCATTATCATTTAACGTCAATGAACGATTTTAAGATCATAAATGTACACCTGTAATACGCATCGTATATGATATCTGTAATTTTACTTCAACTGAACGTGTTTGAGTGAACATGTACATGGTGCAGGCAAATTAAATCAAATTAATTGGTGTCGGTGTTAACTATGATAACATGTTGGAGAAGTTGACTTGTATTAATAAAGTATACAGTTAAACAATCCATCGTTTCATAACGTGTAATTAGTTGAGTCTAGACTAATGTAATAATATGTTTTATTCTCTAGTGTAGCCTACGTATACTTATAAAACTTGCAAGAGGGACGGTGTCCCTGCTGGCAAACAAAAGACTTTATCATAATTCAAAGTTACTAATGAATACTCCGAAGTAATACCGCAGAACATTTAATGAGCTCTCCCTCCCTCATTTTCTCCCACCCCCCCCCCCCCCCCATCCCCCCTCTCTCTCTCTCTCTCTCTCTCTCTCTCTGTATCTCTCTCTCTCTCTCTCTCTCTTTCTCTCTCTCTCTCTCTCTGTATGTCTCTCTCTCTCTCTCTGTCTCTCTCTGTCTCTCTCAGTTTCTCTCTATCTCTAACTCTCCCACACCAGCATTATTTCAAAAGTGGTATGCTATTATCCAATAAACATCTGTCTGTTTGAGTTGACATTTCTAGTTCAATATTTGAATAATTCCAACCCCATATCAACGGGTGGCTCGTTTGCGTGCGCTGTTAAACCATCTGCGAACCATTATAGACTGTTTGTATATTATGTGGTATTTTTATATTTTGTCCTTGACAACTCAAAATGTGAATTTTATAGAAATTGGTCCCACGGTCGAATATTTGTACAATCTAATGTTCAGAAGATTGATCGATTTGTGGAATGTTTAACTATTCTAGTCTGTTAAGTCGTTTTCTCTTGAAGACAGTGTCCAGTTACTTTTATATATATATTTAAAAAAACTAGTTATCCATTTCGAATAGGCCAATACTAAATTCGTCATTACACAACGGATCACAAACTAGTGAAATTCAAAAGAAGACCCAACTTTTATACTGTTTTGAGTACAGCTGTACTTAACTTCTACCCTCATCTTGGATTCTAACTCAATGATACACGTTATTATTTAATTGATTTATTGACTAGTTCATTTATTTATTCATTTATTCAATTATTCATTCATTCCTTCCGTAATTCATTCATTCATTCATTCATCCATTCATTTAGTCTCTCCTCATGGGGTATAATAGAACACCCTAAATAGCAAAATCAGTTATCCACTTTAGTAGAACAGAGAATAATAATAATAATAATAATAGTGGGTTCTTGTATAGCGCTCATGTCAGTCAGATTTGACCCTCCTGGCGCTCCCGAAGCCTAGAATCTGTTTGAAACTCGATGGACATATCATTGAGCAGGTCAGTAATTACATCTACTTAGGACAAAATATCACAGATGATGCCAGATGCGAAGCAGAAATAAAAAGAAGAATAGAAATTGCTCAGAATACATTTCTGGCAATAAAAAACTTATTCACTGATAGAAAGGTGAAAATTAGTAAGCTGTTATGTATGGTCTGTCCCATTGTATGTAACAGAAACATGGACAATAAGCAAGGCTGTGGAAAATAAATGTGGATTTACAGAAGGATGATGAAAATATCCTGGAAACAAATGAAAACCAACAAAGAGATATTGCACATAGCAGGGCGTAAACAAATTGCACTGGTAGGGTTAGGTAAGGAGAGAAAAGTCAAATACTTTGGTCATGTTAAAAGGCGCCAAAGCCTCTTAAAGCTTATCTGCCGTAGTTTCCAGGAGGGATTAGACCGCTCTGCAAGGTCACTGGACAGGTGGTTATCTCATCAACTCAGCTCTCAGTTAACATAAGAAAAAGAGGATCATGGGGCACCAATGGTCACCGATTATGCATTGTTTGTTATATAGAGGGCGCAAGTAGCTACCAGTAGTGCAGTGGGCCTTTAAAGGATGCGTTGGAGGGGATAGTGGAAGGCACTAGACCGAGAGGGAGAACCAGAATCAACTGGGAAGAGAATGTCAAGAATTGGAGTGGACTAAAACGGCATGAGTGCACCAGAATGGCAAAAGATAGAGTGAAATGGAGAGAAAATGCAATCAACCTCCGAACTGGGAGAAGATACTTAGACAGATAGATGGATAAATATCCATATAGGGATCCATGTAGGGGCTCACTATTATTCACCGTTTGCATCGGCCATGTAAAAGCCCCACCCCCCCCTCCTTAACCAAAATTTAATCTTGAAAACAAAACCTTTGCATTTTAAAGAATAGTATCATCATAAGTTATGTCTATGGTATCACTGTGCTCTATATACTCTCAGAACAGGTGTAAATGACTTCATCGAAACTTCTCGGCGAGTTTTGAAGAATACCAACAGATGGCCCTTCTAGAGTATGAGTTAAAACCAGTTGATAAAAGGTAATCAAATATAGTCACGAATATAAACTTGATGAACACAACTGCTTTATGTATTTAGGATCTCATTACTTTCCTCTCCGAAACTAATAATAGCACTGAGAGACAGTGTGGTCTAACTGGGGCTAAGGAGATTGAGCAGCTGTCCAGTCAAAGAACAAAACCATATTACAAAGCTAGAATAAGACTATCCTCCACCCACTTCTTCCAATCCCTCTCATAATGATTTTGCGCTGAACCATGTCGATGTGTCCGATCAAACCGTCATAAATCTCTTTCTCTGAAACGTTAAATTTCCTTCATATTACATGGACAATTTTACAATTTGTTTAAGTACCTCCACATACTAAACTTTGACATTACAAGTCTGTCATGACTGTTGCCTCAAAGATTTGATCGTTCTCATTTGATCAGGAAAAAAAAAAACGTTTTGAAAGATCTTTCATGACTACAATACCCCCAATATCCACCCCTATCCCTTAAAGGGGGTGGATCGCCAGTTTCCATGTGCAGAAGGCCATAATTCGCTGACACCAGACTTGGTGGAAATACCATTAATGGGGGTACAAATTTGCACACAGCAAACCCATAGTCCAGTCAAGAATTACCCCCTAATCTCTCGGAGAGCTCGAGAGTCTTCGGGCAATTCAAAGCATTACATAAGGTCCAATGGTCATAAAACTCAAGGCTAACCCTGGTGATTGACAACACCTGTTATTGGGTAAACACCCGAACGGTGTCGAATTCCCCATGAGAGCCGACTACTCAGTGACTTTAATGCGATACAGATTCGTTTCCAGAGCATTGACCGTGTTAAAGTCACTGAGTAGTCGGCTCTCATGGGGAATTCGACACCGTTCGGGTGTTTACCTAATAACAGGTGTTGTCAATCACCAGGGTTAGCCTTGAGTTTTATGACCATTGGACCTTATGTAATGGTTTGATTTACCCGAAGACTCTCGAGCTCTCCGAGAGATTAGGGGGTAATTCTTGACTGGACTATGGGTTTGCTGTGTGCAAATTTCTACCCCCATTAATGGTATTTCCACCAAGTCTGGTGTCAGCGAATTATGGCCTTCTGCACATGGAAACTGGCGATCCACTCCCTTTAAAAACAAGCCGGAAGGCAACAATTTATTCACTTTACTTCTAAATCGCTACCAATAAGCAGCAGTAAAGCTGAAATGAAATATGGCAGGTGTATTAATGACACAGAGTCACAGACACCCTTTCTTGTTTTCTGACAAATCGAAATGATTGAAAAGACTACACGATAACGTGACTGGCCATTCAGTAATAAATTTGTTCGGATTGTTGGAGTTGAAGTGCACTATAGTATGTCTGTTTGAAATAATGATTACTAATGTTTATGGCGTCCATAATTATAATAGGGGCCAAACGCTGTAATGCATATGAGAGCATTTAGTAAGCAAGCTTTATTTTTTTAAAGACATATAACAATTTCAATAATTTTTGGAGCCGACCTTCGACGTCATCATCAAGAAGACGCAATGGGGTTTCGAACTGAGGTTACACTAGACAGCCAACCACAAGGCCATCCCTAATATCGAGGTTTCAAGTTAGAAATTTGAAAATTATCGCTTGTTATATTTTGTTATGTTTTGTGGGGTGATGGGTCATAGTTTCAACTTATTAGTCTGTGTTGAATAATCTTTATACAACTTGAGATCATCATATTTATTTAGTGCCTGTTATTTAGTATTCTTCTGTATATTTTATGAATTAAATAGGAATTAAAAATAGAACCCACCATTATACTATAGGCTCAATACAAACAAGATTTTACAACGTCATATACTATATTTCAGATGTCGTTCAGTGGCTTGTAATTCACCTAATAACAATGATTCATTATAATATTTCCGTCTTTTCTGATTTCTATGAAATTTAATCCTGTCTCTGTTCACGCATCAAAATAATAAACGGCACGTATTTTCACTTTTCCTGTTAAGTGTGAATAATATTATTAAAACTGCACCTGAATAGGATTATAAAGAAGCCACAATATTTTGATTTTATCATTCAAGATGAAAAATGCAACCAGAATATCAACATATCGGGACCCTCTTTCCTCATTATAACCAACTCACAATGCACAGTTCTGTTACCGCAATGTGATGACTATAAACACAATTTGTTTCATTTCATAACTCGGCGGCAAAAGGCTCCAGCCGATAATAGTCCAATGATAAATTATTGTATTAATTCTTATCCCGCCAGAGGGTATGGTAGCGTTGAATAAAAAAAAATCGTCACAATAGCAAAATAAACATCACCGATACAACTCAGGGTGCCAACTTTGACGGAGTTCTCGCGGTTTAAAGGTGTTGAATACATTCGACAGTTCGATGGAAACGCTATAATATTATCGTGGAGTTGAGTTTTGAAAATAAAGGTGTATTCGATGCCTTACTTTCCACATTAAGGTACGTTTTTCAGAAATCTTCCATCACCCCCCCCCCCCCCGCCGCCTCTTCATTTTTGTTCGTTGTGACGTTGTCGTTGAAAAGGAGTATATTCAGATTTTATACCCGCACTTTTTAAATTACACAGGTTTCAAGTATTATGAATATAGACATGTAACTTTTCTTTCATTTTGTATTCAGTTATAAACTGAACCTATGATATATTCATTCAGGTTACAAAATATAATAAGCAAAAAGCACAAATCCTAACAAAACTGCAGTTCCAAGGCTAAGCCAAAGTCGAACTCCTTTGTGAGCGACACGAGTAAAATGATACAAAGATCGAGGGGGGAGTAGAGGGGGGAATATTAGAGCGATTGTTCAATAAGTGATGTTAGCCCAAAGGAGGAGGTAAGTGGGCGTAAAGAGTCCATCATTAATGACTGAACAATTTGATGTGCAAATCAAACATTATATTTGCCAAGTGTCTCGGTAGATCTCTCGCTTCACAATGGCATGAGATACACCTGGTGTCTGGGCGGTATAAGTGATATGATTATTTGAAGTGAGGTGTGAGTCAATTTATACTGATGGGATCAGCGGGGAGTGTTCAGGGGTTTAACCTGATCATTTGGTGCTCGGATCGTATCAAACCAATTACTACTATTATCAAAAAGTATATTGCCCTCCCCGTGCTCTATAACCAATTGTTGTTTTGGGTTTGGGGATAGATGCGCTCGTAATGATGGTGATTATTGGCAAGACATCCTTTGAGGGGTGACCTTGTATCGTGTTACCCCTAAACATTTTGGATTTCAAATAAATACCCATTTAGGCCTTTAATAAGGGAAATAAAATCGAATTTGTACCTCGTAAAATTTTCTAATAAAGACACTAGACAGAGTATTTTACCTCTACAATTTGGAAGTTCCAATGGTTATTCTTGTACTTATTAAAGTAATGGAAGTCTATATTTCAGACAGCAATTCCTTTAAATCAGGAGATGACCAGACTATCTGTGACAGTAATGTCTGCTATGCTTTAATTGATTACCTTTAAAACTTACAAATATTAGAGGAAATTTAATTACCTCCAACGCTTGTATGTTCCAATGTTTTTTCTTATAATTACTAAAGTAATGGAAGTCATACTTAATATCAAGAGGTGACCCGACTTTATTTGACAGAAATGTCTGATATGCTTTCGTTTCATTACACTATTGTGTGATGACCTTTGATTTGTACCACGATTAGCCTTTCACGATTGACAATATGAAATTGCCTCTCAAGCATCGGTCATAAAAGAGGGGGACTATAGAAGAACAATGTTGCCCCCCCCCACACACACACACACAAACACACACATCCAAATTGTTTGAAGTAATGATAATTGTGGGTAAAACAGAAATGAATCCAAGTTTCTTTGAAGAAAAAGCTAGAGGGTTGATCGATCGAAAGAAGCTGAACTCACTCAAATTGACTGAACTTAATACCACAATACTATTCATAATTGTTTAAAATTTTGGATTGTGGTAAAGAGAGTGTATGAGGGAAACAAGAGGTGCATTGCAGGGAAGAAAAGGAAAAATCGAAGAACCGCGTGTCTGATCAAGAAGTTAGTAACTTCTTGGTCTGATGATGACATTCAAGTGTCATGCAGTGTAAACATGAAACGGGTCATAGTCACATTCATAAGCAGGTTGTGGAAGAGAGAAGTAGGGAAAAGAACAGGTGCATCACACATTATCAAAGAAATCATGGAGAGCGAACAGAAAAAAGTTCTTCATGGTGACATTAGAATGAGATGCGGTAAAAACGTGACACGGGTCACATACATTCACGTCGCCGACAAAAGATAGAGGAAGATAAGGAAAGACTGGGGAAGAAGAAGAAAGATGAAGGGATATAAAGGAATACAAAAAGAAGATGCATGAATATGGATACAATCAAAGGAAAGGACCTCACCCCAGGTGCAGCCCTCCATGTGATATTGACAGTATTGATATCAGGCGGGATGACGGTGAGCTTGTTACGAAGTTTCTGGATGATTGGTTGGGCTTCACCTCCTCGAACGATATCCAACGTGGCGCCGCGACCTGAGGATCAAAACAAAATACCGGGGAAATAAACAGATTAAAGGAACTATGAAAAAACGTACACACACGTGGATTAATGAAAGTAGTCCAAAGGAACTATAACAACGAACAGATTGAAGAAATTATAGTTGAGCAAGGTCATCGAGCTGTCTTTGAAATGAAGGGAGGGACCACTAGCCTATCCACTGGAAGCATAATTATGCTACAACTCCTTCACGAATAGAAGGAACTGCTCCTGCCCCACCCTACTCCCTGCACCATGGGTGTCGATCCGTAACTGATACCTATTCATCAGGGGGGGATGATCTATTCATTCATCCCCCCCCCCTGATGAATAGGTATTACGTAAGGATCGACACCCATGCCCTGCACACCCACCCCTCCCCTCCATCGAAGCTACTTTCTGAGAGAGGTCTAATGGTTAAGTCCACGCTTGAATAGCATGGATTAGAAAATGAAGTGAAGCGAATTAATTAATATTCTTATTCTATACTAACATATCGTAATCTTGAATCTCTAGCTGTATGTTTGAATCTTAATGGTAACAAATGAGATAAATGTACGTTTTTGTTTACCACTCCAAGTCTAATCCACCCTCTATGCTCTCCTATGACGTTTATGCCAGGACAATTACAAACAAAATGTGGTTTCAGGGGAGGGGGGGGGGGGCTGATTATAGACAGAATTGGGATGCTATCATTATACCTAATACCTTGGTATTTTTTTTTGGGGGGGGTGGGGGTTTAGTTCAAACCATTAAATCCCTCTTACGTCCCATCACCTGTGCCTGCATGCCTATTAAAGAGTAAACAATGATTCACTTGATTGGCAGACCAAATCAGTAAACAAAATTTAGAAAGTAGGCGAATCGAAGGAATTCCTGAGAGAAATTCCGATATCAATGCTTTGATTTCTAATTGGTTAACGGTGCAACAGAGCAAGCAAAACACTGTATAGTAGAGTCAGGTGAATTTACCTTCGAATTGTTCTCATAATAAATATATTTTTAATATTTTTTTAAAATATAAACTTACTAGATAAACAATTGCCTGAAAAGCAATACTTAAAGGAATGATGATTAACTAAACTCTGCAAATCGTTTTCATGACACTTTATGAAATAAAAGTTGTAAGTTGTAGAATATTAATATATATGTTTGTAGTAAATGATCACATATGCATTTAGGTGCAACATTTTCAACAAGTCTGTAGAGCACGTGATGGAAAAACAAAGGTAATATCACTTTTTTGTTTAATTATAAATAAACAGTTTCTAATAAGTTTTTTTTAATCAAAGTGCACCGTAAAAGGAATAATGTACATGTACTTTTCCTCTTTTCGATACGTTCGATTTCAGTTTTACATCGCTTTATCATCAGAAACTCATATATAAAAAAATAAAAAAATCTGTTTGGGCTGACTGTCACCTTTAAACAAACACCATGCCTATATCATATCGTATCTCCTTCACATCTCTTATAATATCATCAAAATTGACAATAGATACAAAATCACAATCGGAATCACAAGTTGACACAATATATATGCAGTGATCCTATCCAATGATTTAGAAGAAGAAAATATTCTAGATCGTGAGATAATTCGATTATGACCATGTGATGCGGTTCATGTGGTGTTTAATATCCCGTGGCTTCGCTCCAGCTAGGTAGTATAAATGGAAAGAACAATAGCGAAGGAAAATGATTGTCAGTGTCAAACAGTAGAAATTAATCTGGCATAAATTTGGTTTCTTATACCCAAGTCACACCGCTAGACCAACTTCAAACCGACCGATTCCCGGCTATATACGAGCTTTTACTGTTGTCGGTCCTGTGTCGGTCTCATTGGAATTAATGGGGTGTTGTAATATACAGTCACACTGCCAAATCGACCGCAAACCGACCGAATCTTGGACATGATTTTGTGGTAATGCATTTTGTGCAGTCGATTGTCGGTCTGCATGATCTTTCGGTATGACTGGAGGGGGGGGGGTGACAAGAGGCTTAGCTTAGAACGCTATCCTGCCGTGAATGACTCAAGGTGATGTCCCCATTGCTGCCTAAAAACTGTTTGTTGCTCTTCACTTAGTTGATGTGTACAACCCCTTCACCGTATTGCCATCATGCAATATGACCAGGTACTTCAATGAGGTAAATCACCGCAGACTTACAAAATGGGTCAGTGGAAATTGTCCTGGACGCCTGGCATTTCGAAATGTTCATCCTTTCTAAATCAAGTTCATTCATTCTTGGACAATTATTTATTGTTGAATTATGACAGCATAATCCCTTTTATCTGCTCAAATTTCTGACCTATTTTTAACTAACAAACGCGTTTGCTGTTTGTCACACATCTTAGGTTTAATTTTGATCACGTTCAGACTAAGTTCAGAAAGGAATTCATGTTGAATTACCAATTTTTAAGTCGATATGTTTTTATTCGGTCCTATATTTCCCGTCCTATCATAACAATACTTAGTATGCCTAATATGAAAATAAGAGTCTATTATGATACTAAACCAATTTGGTATAACAGTTACCAACTTGCATTATGAATTCGCGTATCCTATTCCAGATTCTGAAACAGTATCCCTTCCAAAGTAATTACACTAAGCATTACAGGCACTGACCGTAATGAATTTCGTTTATAACTTAGTATAATGATATCAAGCCGGTATTTGAACTTCTTGTTCGAAAACCAAAAGGTGAGAAAAACTTCACTATTGTCCCTCTCAACTCCTTGCTCCGACCTCGCATATAGCATAACATAATTATGTTTGTTCCCACTGGTGATATAACGACATTTTGGTTTTGCACAACTCAATAATTCATTAAAAATATCAATACAAAAAGATAAGATAATTTTTCCAGAAATCACTTGTAACCATCAATGTTGCCGCTGTATGTAAAATAATGGGGCTTGGCCATTTCAAGTGAGAACAGTTTTGATTGGATAAAATGTTAGCAAATACATGTATATAATAATTAGCCAACCAAATGGATATAATTATAACAGTAGCCTCAGTAGTAAAACAAATGAACAGAGATACGATATAAGGAGATCAAAATCAAACATAGTGGTAGTAGTAGAATTGATATTGGAAGTAGTAGTAGTAGTAGTAGTAGTAGTAGTAGTAGTAGTAGTAGTAGTGGTAGTAGTAGTAGTAGTAGTAGTAGTAGTAGTATAGTAGTAGTAGTAGTAGTAGTAGTAGTAGTAGTAGTAGTAGTAGCAGCAGTAGTAATAGCTGTCGTGGTTTCTAGGCGTTGAACAAAGCCTTTAGCATAGTAACATGAAGGAAATACATTTATGCTTCGTACTAAATAATTCGATTGTAATTAATATCATTTGATTGAGCACCTTTTTGAGCAGGGCTTTAGAACGCTTTTTCTTTACTGTAAAGAAAAAATGATTCAGATATTTCCATTGAACGAAAATTTGTTTCCTTTAAAAAAAAATCATGTATCGAAATCACTATGTACGACAGGGTATTGTATCATGGAGAAGAAAACTAGATCATTATGGTCATGGTACAATAATTTCTTATTTTTCTGAAATAACATAACATTGAAGTATCACCCTCTCTGTATGCGGTCGTTTGTATGCATTGAAGGTAACACATTACTCTTATTCATTGTGATCTGAAAGATTATCTTGGATTCCCTGGGATTTTATTCTATTGTTATATAGTGAATAAAATGGAATGATTTATGACAGGGGATGATTTTTGAAATGTTTCCGGAATTTAAGCTCTTAAGGATCAATATTCTACTTCTTCTTTTTTAATTGACATCCGAAAGAAGGGGGCGGGGTTAGAGTTTTGTGAACAGCCCGAAGCTGGAAAAATGTAAAAAATGAAGGATTCGTCGAAAAATCACACATTCCAGAAAGAAATGTACATATATCGGAATGCTTATAGCGGATACCTCATCAATATATAATTAGGTAATGAATCCTTTCAATTCTTTTCTTCATCCTTTGTATTCATTTTCGTCTTCTTCGTCTACATCACTCCTGCATGACATTGTCAATTATCACTTGGTTGTTATTGGTGATGCTTCTTGGCTTACTCTACACGAGAACTTAAACATAATTGTACATTATATCTAAATTTATGAATATTTTTTGTTGTTCTTGATCTTAAAGACGCCAAACAGAAGGAAATTAAACCCTATACTTACACAAGAGCTCTCTAGCTTGAGCTGGATCTATCCATACATCTACATCACTACTCGGTGGACCTGGATCCGCAGCCAAAACAATTGTTAACAAACACAGAAATGCAAAAGCTGACTCCATCCTCAATCTAATTTGATTATCCTAGTCTTCGACTGCCAAAAAATGTCAGTAATCAGTTCTAAAAGTTAATCCACAGTCATCAAATTCTCCCAAAATGAAGATCATATAGCGGTGCCAATAAAATATGACGGTTCTTCAAATCGCCAAATTAGAGCATCATTAGTCAACTGTCCTTATTACAACAATGAAACAGGGACACAAAATCCTCAATGGCCAGACTTCAGCGTAGATCTTGGTTTCACAGCTCATAAAGTTTGCGGGTGAGTATGAGTCTGACTCTTCTATGAACTATTAATATACTTTTTTTTCTTTCCCTCCCCCGCTATTCGTTTCGCCAGATGTCTAAACTTCTGCATGGAACGCACGCAACCGTGCATGCGTAAAGCGAAACGACACGCATACACAGAATTTCACACACAATTTTGAACTATCCACTTTAGATACCTGTTGCTAAGAAATGAAGCTCTGTAAAAAAGAAAACAAAAGGGGGAAAAGAGAAAAAAAAGAACATATAACAGAGAAAAGAAATCTTTGAAAAGATACAACAAAGACATATGACATGTCACCTGTCAGTCGAGTACCTGGCATTTTAAAAGGAGATTACGATTTTTCTTGATGTTCAAGAGTTAGTGTATGATGAGGATGAATCTACATAACGATAAGACAGTAGCATATCCGGGATTCTAGGCCAGGGGAGGAAGGGGGGGGGGGGTGGGCGGGGCATAAGTATGAGTTTTCTCGGACAAGGAAAAAATAAAAGCGATCATCACATTATTTCTTTTTCGGGGTGACCCCCCCCCCTCAAAAATCCTACAATCAAACAGAGAAGCAAAAATGACCGTCACACTTTGGTGTGACTTTTGGGGTGTAAATTATTCCTCTTGGGTACATAATTAATAGGCTGTCGAATACGTTTGTTCTGCTTGTTGGTCTGTTGTTCTTTTGTTGTTTTCTGCCTTTTTGGGGGGAAGGGGGAGTCACCCCGAAAAAGAAATAATGTGATCATTTTGTTTTCCTTTTCAACGTTTACTATACGGTATCAGGCGCGTATACAGGGGGGAGGGGGGGGGGGGGTGGGGGGGGGGGGTTTGGATTTTTTGTTTTTTGTTTTTTGTTTGTAAGTGTCCTCTTACCCTCCCCCCCCCCCCCCCCCCCGCTTATTCAGCGGCTGGCTGAGTTGTTGCGAAATTTTCGGCCCGATTTAAAAATGTAAACCCACCCTTGAAAAAAATCCTGCGTACGCGCCTCAACGGTATATCTGATATACTTTAACCAGTGCACTTGCACCTCCGCCCCCCCCCCCCCCTCCACCACCTATCCGACACTTTTAGGGAAGTGCATTAATGATTTACAATAATCAGGTGACAACCAACCGTTTGACTCATCAAATCGTCTTGTAGGCTTAGAGGAAGGACAAAGATAAGCTGGGGATCTGTACTATTTCTTACCAATGCATCCAGTTCCAATAAAAGCTGTTGAAACCTGTCCATCTTCTTCGCTTTTATTTGTCAGCCCAATAATTTGATACATTAATGACTTCCTCCTTTTAAAGTGCTTTGCACCCATTTCGGAAATGTCCATGATTTGGAGACACAACATGACTGTTATATTTGGCATGATTCCTTCTAGATGGAACAAGACAGAAGGGGGTTATAATAAATCAAAAGGATTTATGATATAGAACTAGTTTTAGGCTTATGGAAACAATGACCAACGCACATACAGTAAGGCTCTTGAAATATGATCTGCGGGAGTGTGGCATTATTTCCAACTTGTTTCAACTTCATAAACAAAATTCAAAATACATCATGTTTCACATATATACATAAAACTGGTTCTTTATTATATACGTAATGTCCTGCTATAGGATATGACTTTTTTTTAGAGTTTTAACTTCTGACTTACAATTCTGTTGACTTCTAAAACAGCAATTTCGATTTTTTTTTTTTTTTTTTTTTTTTTTAATCCCCTTTTGTGACATGTACCAACAAAAGCGATTATGCTTTCAAAAAGAGACATCATAAGCTGTTGCTAAAATTATAAGCATGTATCCAGGATGTGATTTTATTTTACACCCTAGACTGTGATGAATATATTTTTATACATGAGGGACGAAGGGGGAAGGAAGGAAGATGGGAGTTGCGATAAACATGAAATGTGAATGAAAAGCAGAGGTGGAAAGACCGAAAGAAGAAGAGAGAAGACCGTGTGTGCACAACGAGGCCTATTACGTGAAGGGGAGAATGGGGAAGGGGTAGTAAAACGTGGATGGAGACGGAAACTGAATATGAAATTTTTGTTATTTATACGTCTTTTAATGATTACAAACTATATAGAAAATAGATTATAAGAGATAGATAGAAAACGTGGAGATAATAACAAATAATATTGAGAAAATTATTGTAGTTAAGATTTCAAATGGTTTAACTTTAATAATTTTATGATATCTTGATTGTTGTTGGTGGCATTTTACCAGTTGAAAAATCAGAATAAAAGCTTTGTTTTTGACTTGAGGTATATTGTCTGCTGATGTGTCGTTTCTTTTAGTGTTGATATACCATCTCTTTAAATCCTGTATAGTCTAACAAACATAGAGAGGGAGATGGAGAGAGAAAGAGAGAGAAAGAGAGAGAAAGAGAGAGAAAGTAGATAAAGAGAGGGTGAGAGATTTAATAAAAAGGGTTAAAGAGGGGTAGACAGGAGATTGGGAAAAATTCATAGAACGATAGAAGAAGAGATTTGGGAGAATGAGGAAGAGAAAAGATGAGAGAGAAGGAGAAAGAGGGAGAAAGAGAGAGAGAGAGAGAGAGAGAGAGAGAGAGAAGGGGGAGGGCAGATACATACCAAACCAAGGGAAAGAGTGTTATAGGGGTATATACTGTTTATAGAGAGAAGGTAGGGTAAAGGTTTGGATAATGACAGCGAAGGGAGAGAGAAACTGAGCCGACTAAATCTCCAAGTTCTCGGTGGCCAGGATAATATGTCTTGACCTTCAGTTGGATCTATGCAAACATGAGGAAGGTGATGAGAGATGAAGAGACGATGCGATAACATCAGGGTGTTAAATGAGGACCCAAGGGGGAGCAAGAAACTCTTCATATTTGGTCTCGATCTGTCATGCTTTCATTAGCAAGGTAGCACAAACGGAGAGAAAAGTTCGGTTTAATGCATCAAGGTAAAAGAAAAAACGAATATTGTTCCAGACAGAAGTTTAATTGGGACATCCCTTCTGTGACTAATGTTGCTTCTAGACATGGAAAATGGCGATGACCGTAGAATATTAAGGTCTCATATACAAAGGGATTTTAAGTGGTGACAACTGATACAATATTCAGCTCCTTACCTTATCTTTTGAGCGTCGCACAGACGTCTCAGTAACTGTCTGGCCGTCTCAGTTATTCTTTTGTCTGAAGCTGTACTTGATGTGCTTTCCTTACACCTAATATATCTTCTTAAACATGTTAGCTGTATTTCCATATTTAGTGTATAAGATCAACGAAAATGTAGTTTTGATTAATAGTTTTTCATAACTATTCCCGATTGTTGCGTAAATATTTGAATTTAATAATCATCTAAATTTCCATTTCAGAGGGCAAAAAAGATTAGTGTGACAATGGTAGTGTTAATTTATTGCATCTCAACGAAATGAGTCAGTTATTTATCTTTGACTACTCAAAATCACGAAATTATATTTAGGTTAACAAGGATGACATGCACTCATATTCTAATGTACATCTTGTACATGTTGTGGTTTAGTGGATAAGTCTATGGACTGTGATTCACATGGTAGTGGGATCGAATCCCAGCCGCAGCACTTGCAGTTCCGGCAGGACATTAATTTACATTTGCTGTGCTCAACCCATGCGTAGGAAGTGGGCACCTGGTAGGAATAACAATTCCTTGAATTCTCTGAGCGCTATACGGTTACCGTAGCTAATTCAGAAGCGCAGAATCGGAACATTAGTACTATTATTATTATTGAAAGCACATCTTTGACGGTGGTGTTTCACGATGTGCTTAATTGGGGGAATTTAGAACCACCCTTCCTGACAGAAATTCAACACAGAAAGCGAAGCATGTGGCAGAGGTTACAGACGTTACATCATCATCCTGCATGTGTCGGAAATAAGAGGGTCAATGAACCTGTGTTCATGAACACGGTGAATATTAGCAAGTTCAGTGATTCATTTTTCATGCCGTTTGATATTGAATCTTTCATATCATTTGTAATGCTCAAACTGCTACCAATGAGAGGATGCGCTATTCTTTGTTATCTTAATCTATTTTCTCCATCTCAATCAATCATTGCCTCTACTTCCTCCTTTTAGGGCTAAGATTTGCAAGGGGCACATTTTGTTTTTATCGTGCACTTAGGATATATGCACGGTCGGGCTTTAAAAGGGTACACAAACTAGTTTGGACCCCACATACCCACGTATACCCACACACCATCACCATAAATCCACCAGTCAGGTTTAGTAGTTAGGAATGCTCCGGTGCCATTGGGTAATGCACTCTTGTCAGATGGATGTAATGCAAGGGGGCCTCACTTTCATTTTCCTTCTCCCTTTTCGGGGGGGGGGGGGGGGCGGGCACTATGCACCCGTTGTAATGTGCCCACATGAATCATCATCATCATAATCATCATTATTATCATCATTGTCATCATCATTGTCATCATCATCATCATCGTCATTATCATCATCTTCATCATCGCCACCACCACCACCACCACCACCACCACCACCATCATCATCACCACCACCACCACCATCATCTTCATCATCGTTGCCATCTTCGGTACCATGCACAACCATCGCCCTGACTGTTAATCATCAGTTTCATAATCGTCGTTATCATCATGAGACTTATGGCCTCCTTCCGACCCATCCTTTAATCGATTTACCTTCCTGAGAGTCGATTCCATTGGATAAATCAACGTCAGGATCCACTGACATCTTCTATCTCCTCTCTGAAGGGAGGGGATCAGTCAAACATAGCGCACCCCTTATCCTCATGTTGATTCAGTTCTTCGAAGCCCGCTCATGCTCAATTCTGTTTTCGAATTTCATCGTAGATTATTTTAGCATCCTCCTCGGATCATCTTGTGTCTTTGAATTTGAAGCTTGAATCTCCTACACAGCAGAGCAAAGAAATAATTTCACTGTGTATCACGTGAAGGCTGTCTCCCGTACGTTATATATCTGGATTTGTTATTTATTAAGTTCCGTGTTTGTTATTTCAACTCATGATGACCTTGACATTAAACCAGCAAATGTTGGGGAATTCAAGCTATTAAAAATGGCATCCGTCTATGATCACCAACAATGCTTTACATTATACTCACAATCAACGAAAC